ATAAATTATCAAACACTTCACCCTTGGTGAGATATTTTACATCAAAAAATGTAGAACTACTTAACATTTTTGATGCATCAGAAGAACAACAAACAAAATAATTGAACATTTGCAACCAAATGGTATTCAAGGAAAAAGTATGACCCTCCTCTTCAATAATACGAAAAAGAGTTTCTGATATCAGTTTATTAAAAAACTCCTAGAGCTCTAGTTGAAGCGGGAAAAATGACGTTATCAATATCGTTCGTAATTGAATCATGAAGGAAATTTGAACCATCAAGATTGAAAACTAATTCTTTAAGGTGATCTTTATGAAAATATGTTGCTCCACCAAGTACAAATATCATGTTAAAATGATGATGCAGAAATGAAACCATATAATTTTTTAAAAACCTTTTATGCAAAAATGGCTACCATTTATCAGCTTTTCCATTCCGCTTATCACCATGCCTATAGCTTGTAAGTTTTGAAAATTCATACAAAATATCAAAGGTGAGAGAGTTTTGAGAGTTTTTAAAACCACCTTGAATACTACCTTCCTGCTTAACCACTTTTTCCCATTCTATGATTGCTTTTTCTGCATATACTCCTAGACTGTGAATAACGTGTAAGTCACAAAAAACATGATGCATGAGAAATTTTTCATTTTTCATTTAAAGGAAACTGATCATAGTTTTTAACGACAAAAGGCAAAATTGCTTCTCTCCAATGTTTAAATTGGATAAAAAAACTTGAATTAACTATAGTGCGATTATTCATCAAAGATTTGAACAAAAAAATAAGTTTCCTGAGATCATCCTCATAGTTTTCCTTTTCCAGAGAAAATATCTGAGACATATCAGTGAGTTTTTTAGCTCTCCAAAATAAGATTGTGCCTCGCCAGAAAACATTTATTTTATCCCAAACGTGTAGCTACCAGATGATGTTGTGACTTAAAACTACCAACCTCCCTAAAATTATACTTTGTGCTATCTGTATGAAGACAATTGTTTGTGCTATTCAACATAACCTCTCTCACATGAGCTTTTGATAAAAGGTTCATTTCACTAAAAAATTCCACATGAAATTCCAGCCATTTTTTGTAGTACAGTACTGATAACAGATTCAACATTATTAACAGAAACATTTTTACTTAAAAAGTCGTAATATACAGTGCGAATTTCATTATTATATCTACCTCTTTCAAAAACATCAATTATATTTTTTTCAAATATGTCAACTCTTTCCTTCAGCTCTTCTGAAAGATTTTCAAAGTAATTTAAATTTTGCTTTAAGAAGGAATCATTTGTTTCATCAGATGTTTTCAAAACAGTGTTTTCAATTTTTTTCTTCAAACACCATGCTTTTTGTCGATCTGATTGTGAACACTTTCTAGCCAAATTAATTTCTTTTTCCAATGTTAAATTTATTTTTAACAATTGGCTAATCCTACAATCCTTTCTAATGTCTCTTTTGTTGACATTTCTGGTATTATATTTTGACAAGATTGCTTGATACTTTCTCTTATATTCATTGCATCTTTTATTAACTTGTCTATTTTGCATGTTATAATTTTGTATTTTTTTATTTGATAGGTCAAATCACCAGAAAATAAAGGTAGTTTTTTATCTAAATGGGAAACTGGGAGATTCTCTTCACTAACACGCGTTTCAGTAAGAAAATTTTCAGATCTATTTTCTAAAGGGATGTATACAATAGAAGTTAGGGTAACAGGGCACGACAACTCATCATTAGTAATTTGCAAGTTTAAATCAGAAGATACAAAAACAGTAACTTGATTTGGAACAATTTCACTATTGTAGATAGAAGTAGGGGTAGAACAAGCATCAGAAGGAAACAAACCAACAACATCAGAAAAAGCACCATTAAAAGATAAAGCAGAACTTAAAAAATATATTTTTAAGTCCAAATTTTTGGCTCGATTTAATTTTACAATGTAATCTTTGAACTTTTTTAAGATCCTTATAAGCATCACTCTAGAGATATTATACTTACAGTAGGTTGTAAAAAATAATGAAAGATTTTCTAATGTTATGTTTATTTTTGTCTTTGCAAATTTGTAAAAAATGGCTATTGGTTAACACAAAATCAGAATATTTGAGAGAAATAATGCCATCATTTATATCCAGAAAATCCAAAATATTCTTGCAGGTTGCTGTTTCTGACAACACTTTGGTAGCTAAAACTAATATTAAATTTAATTTGAGTGATTACAATAAATCTTTTGTTAATCAAAGAGTTGAAGTTTGATAATGTACCCCTTATCTAGCTTTGTGAAAATAAAAGGTAGATCATCAAACCTAAGTTTCTATAAATAAAATTATTGAAATATAAAATGTTTGTTATACATTTTTCCCTATTTAAAAATTTAAAAAGTCTATCAAAGTACGACTTACATTCTTGACTTATAGATTGAACTACCATTTCACGTAGATTGTTAAATACATAGCCTAAAAGAAGAGAATTTGAATTTGAAGTTAGAGTTCATTAGTTCTCTTACTTTGCCAATATAAAAAATATAATAAAAAATGAAAAAAAATAAATGATAACATTCTTCCGCATTTCCAGTTTGTAAACTTTAGACTAAAAGTTTAGTTGATTACTATTTGTTTTTGTTTTAAAAAAAACAGTTTAGAGAATCTACAGACTAAAAACAGTAGTAGAAACAGTAAGAATCAAGCTTGTAGTTGAGCATTGCCAGACAAATACCTTTAATAATATAAAAATTTTACTTTTATAGCTTTGAAAACTTAAGTAATTAATAAGGAATATACTTTCGCTTTCAATTTTATTTGTAGTTAAAATTTTGGAATTGCAAAATCAAAACAAAAAACGTCATAAAATACGTGAAGAAATATAGATAGATATATATACATAATTCTAATATACAAATCCGAAGCACCTATTCTTTAAGAAAACATAATTAAACACTTGTTTTAAAAAGAGGAAAGGCTGAAAAGGTTCAAGTGGAAGTTTGCCATTTCCACTTGAACACTTTCAAAACTTTTTGTCCAACGTCAAATATTTTTCGCTGTGGAATCGCTAATATAATAACAATTTATATCATTCAATACCAGTATCATACATCTTGTATTGCATGATTTACTAAGGGCGACGTGATAATTCAAACAGTATATTTGTAAATCATTTTAACATAATTTTTTAACTTATTGATATATAGTTGCATAATTCCTATTGTTATCACTTTATACGATTATCACACCATCTTACATTAAACGGTTTACTAAGGGGAGGTAATAATTTAGAAACTTAAAAAGGTATTTGTGAAACATTTTCAATTTAATATATAACTAAAAGTTTATAGTTATTTACTATTTATTATATCACTCAATACCATTATTGCACCATCTTTTATTGAATGTTTTACTAGAAGGAAGGAGATAATTCAGGTGCAAGTTTAGTAATTTACTCGGGGAAAGGGTATAATTTAGACAGATATTTGTAAATGATCTTTACATAATTATAAAACTAATTTAATCAGTTTGTTTAAACAGAAATTATACAACTATCAACTAATTATTAATTATTTTATATGTGTAGAATTTCAATCATTTTTCTTTAATGAAGATCAGACCATCTTACATTGGGCGATTTACAAGGGGTAGATAATAAATCAGACAGATTTAAATTATATCGGTCTGAATTTTACTTTTACATACACAGTTATATAACAAAAGCATTAGTAAATAACTAATTAGTTTATATTTGCTTTTTTTCTATTACAACCACTCTATCTTACATCGTCTTTCTTACATTACTTTTATGTAAACTTTTTTAATTTCTAGAATTCTTGTCCTAAGCGTTTTTTTCTCATTGTTTATGTTTACAAAGATAGTACGGACGTTTTAGGTACACTTCTAACAGTTATAATCCGAAAGCGCAATCTCGTTTTGAGTTTTACGCAGTGGGAACTAATATTTCAGGCGGATCTAATATTCTACTACAGGTCACAAAATTGTTGGAAAATATTCTAAATTTTAATAGATAAGAAAACTGATATTAATTGTGCGAGAACTAATATTAATTTTTCTTTTTTAATTTAAATTGAACTCATTATCAAACAATTTTTTTGCTAAATAATTTAATCCTTAAAATTTCTGAATAATTAAAAATTATTTTGATTACCTCAGCATTTTAAAGATACTCTATCAATTGCAATTGATTCACCTAAAAAAAAAAACAAGTAAAGCTAATATTATTGTTGAAATTTTAATTATCTTTATACAAATACTCATCATATTTTTAAAGTGACTGATAAAAATAAATTTAATTAAAATCACTTCATTTGTATTCAAAAATTAATATTAAAGCCTTAATCATACATTATACAATAGTATTTTGTAATACAATCTAAATAGTTGTTGCGATATGTAATTTTTTTATCCAAAATTTAGCTTCTGTAAGCTTTAGAAATTTTTAAAAAAAATTATTGATTAATTTGGAGCTACGAGTACTAATGTTTTTATATTATTGTAATGTTTGTATTCATTCCCTGTTAGTTTCTGTAAGTCAAAATTTTAAGGTGTTTCCATAATAAATTCTGTTATATCTGAACTTTAGTGTTAGTCTGAATAATTTAATTTCTAAATTCTGTTTTGCATTGCTTGTCTTATAACATCTTTACTTGGAACAAAAACCATGTGGTTTAAAAGTGAGCTAGAAGCTTTCAACAATGAAGAAAATATTGCATTCGCTAATCCTAAAAATATATTAAACCTGTCAGCAAAATCAGCTGTCAATAATCCAAGTATTACTATCATTAAAAATTCATCTTTGCTGCATTACATTTATTTTGGTCCAAGTAGTTAAGGATTTTTTTAAATTTCAAAAAACAGAAGTAAATGTTTTTTTAATATCACTTTATCTTTTTTGAATAATGGTGATACTGCACTAACACATTGACAGATGTAAGACCAGTATAAAAGTCGCAAGATCTATTATTCTTTCCTTAGCGAAGTTAAGACTTTTTTAGAAGCACTATGTCCTTCAATTACTTTGAAACTTTATCAAAAGAAGCAGCGGGAAGGTATCAGCGAAAAATAAATCTTCTAGGTAATTTTACTTTAGTTTTACTCTGTTTAAATTAAAAAAATGCTATTAATTGCTGTTTAAATATTATTTTGGTTTAAATATTCTTTTGGTTATTAAATATTATTTATTGGTTATTAAATATTATTAGGGTTAAGTAAATGTCCATACAAGTTTACAGCAGATTCTTGGAGTGAAGATCCAAGTCAGTGGCCTTCTTTAAGCTATCACAATCTTTATCACTACTTGATTAAAACTCCACGCGAGGAATTCTTATCTAATTTCAAAGTTTTTTTTATTATTTCATTATACCAATAATATTAGTAACATTAACTGCTAACATTTCAAAAAAATTTTGTTTTCTTTGCTTTATAATATATATTATGGATGTATATACATGGATGTATATTATATTATGCTTTATATTATATATTATTTAAAAAAAATGTATATACAAAATCCTAATATAATTTTTTCAATGTTAACGTTTATTAGGTATCTATTCTCCAGAAGCAATGGAAAACTATAAGGCATTAGAGGCTTGGAAATTCTTTCAAGATGGGTGGGTCCAAACTATTGTCCATATGAAAGTATGTCAGAATGTTACTATCTTGAAATGTAAGGTTCGACCTTCATATAGGACCACATCTCCTAACCATAAACCTTGGGTTGCTCTCAACTCTCTTGGTAATGTTTTAACTGCTCACTGTGACTGTATGGCTGGGTAAGTCTCTTTTATATAAAATTAGTAAAAATAGAATTAATAATTTTGATTATTAGTATAAGGTAATAAAAAATTAATAAACTGATAATAACTGTGAGTTATTTTGTGGAACTTTTCATATGTTTTTATACCTATAGTTTACCTATAGTTTTTTATCGACTATAGTTTTATAGTTTTTATCTATTTTTTAAGTCTTGGTGAAACGTGCTCACATGTTGCTGCAATGCTATATAAAATTGAAGCTGCTGTTCGTATTGGAATGACATCAAGCACATCAACTGACTTGCCTTGTCAATGGAACCAAACATTTACGAAAAGTATTATTGGCTCCCCAGTTGCTCAAATCAACTTATATTCTGATGCTGCAAAAGAAAAACTTTCTAAAAAGAGTAAAAGAAAAATGCCTATTTCTCCAACACCTCAAGAAAAAAATGATTTTTTATCAGAAATACAAACTGTGCAGCCCAAAACTGCTGCTCTTCATTTGTTTAAAGATTATGATAAGTAGTTTATTCAAATAGAATCTGCTGTCGTACCAAAATTACCAACATCTTTGAGAGAGTTTTTTAATGAAAACTATAAATCACTTAATAATGAACAAAAGCTATCTTATCTTGATGAGAAAAAAAAAGAAATAAATTTGACTTCTGATATGATAGTTTATGTTGAAGAAGCAACACGAAATCAATCGCTATGTGATACCTGGTTTAGAGTAAGAATTGGTCGAATAACTGGCTCCACTTTGCATCAAGTTTTTAATGCTAGAGTTGAAACACCTTCTGTGTCATTAATTTTAAATATTTGTGCACAGAAAAATATACAGATAAAAAGTCCTGCAATAAAGTGGGAAAGAGTAAATGAAATAAATGCATTGATTTTATATAAACAGATTCATTCTGACTCAAATGCAATAAGTAACTCAAAACCACTGTCAGATATTTTTATTCATCAAAATTTGAGAGTTGAAAAAATTGGACTTTGTATTGACTTTGAAAAACCATGGTATGCAGCATCTCCTGATGGTGCTGTTTATTGTACTTGTTGTGGGCATGGAGTTTTAGAAATTAAATGTCCTTTTAGTTTAAAAGACAAGTCATTAAAAGAGCACATAATTAAAAATGCTTTTTATGTTGGTGTAAACGCGGATGGAAACTACTTTTTAAAAAAAGAACACTAATATTTTTTCCAGGTTCAACTTGAAATGAGAGTAACTGGAGTCAGTTACTGTGACTTCATGGTGTGGACACCCAGTGAATTTGTTGTATTGCGCATTGAGCCTGACACCACTTTCATTGAGAATGTATTAATTAAGTGTGATATCTTTTGGAATATTTTTATTTTGAGAGAGTTAGTTACACGAGAAATCGAATCAGAAAGAGAATTGCTTTACTCAACATCAAATAATACTATAAATAAAGACATACTTTTTTGCAGTTGTAAATCTAAGTTTTCAAAGTGATGATACAATGGTTGGTTGTGGTTCATGTGATAACTGGTTTCATCTTAAATGTTTATCTTTGAAATCAGCGCCTAAATCTTCTGTATGGTATTGCAGTGACTGTAAATACAAAAAAAAGTTCCTACACACTATAAAAGTAATTTTTGTATTTTTAATTTTAAAATATAATTATTAGTTTTTTAAACTATATATTAAATACATTATGGAAATTTTTTTTAGCCTTTTATAAATTAATGGTGCACAGTTGAGAAATCAAGAAAACATTGGCTTGCTCAATTAAAAAAATATGTATCTTCTTGGTGAGTTAAAAAAACGGCTATTTTCATAGCCACATATTATTAACAACATATTAAGGCGTACGTTTTGAACTAATACAGTTATAAATAAAATACTTATAGCCAGTTAAGTTGTTTTGCGCTTTATATGAAAACCCTTGCCTGTCAAAAAGAGAAAATTCTTCATAATAACCTTGGATTAGGGTAGATGCTTATTAAAAGGGTGACTCTCGATATCTTGTTTTATGGTTTCGATTTTTTAAACAGTACATTAAAAGGTTTTATTTTTATCCGTGTCTTTATAATTTTTTTACTTTAAAGTCTGATTACACCAAAAGTTTAAAACTTGTAACCCCTACCCCCACTCTCTCTTTCTCATAGAACTTTTTAAAAATAATAATAAACATGGAAGAAGATAAAATAAAAGAGGGGGGTCTTAATGCATTTTTCAAAAAGTAGTGAGGTCATAAAACGATCTGAGTATTTTTATCTTCCTTTATATATAACTAAAGGTAGCTTTAATTTGCAGGGCCGACGACATCATGGAGACACCGAGCCCCATCCCCCCCCCAACCACTTTTTTTCTAAAGGACCCTTTTTTTTTCTTTTAGAAAATTCAAGATATCGAGGACTTTTCTTAGAAATTGATAATTATGCCCCTCCACTTCGAAACTCATGTCGTTGGCCATGGTTTGGTACAGAAGATTTTTAGAAATTTAACCTTCTCTGATTTTTTAACGGGAGTTTGAATTGCGTTGCTTTTCTCTAAACCGACTAACACCCTGGTTTTTTTCCTTTATTTGTGTACGTTTTTAACACGGTAGAGAATTACTCCCAATTAAAAACCTACCTTTTTTAAAATTATAACTTACAACAGTTCCTTGTAATGTTTAAAAATAAAAAACAAAGAAAATTGTCTGCAGGGCTGGAATTATAAAATATGTTAGCATGTATGGGGTTAACCGTGAGCATGTAGAGGGCTTAACTGAGAGCATACAGGTGTGTACAGCAAAGGATAGCCTTCAAGACGGCAAGTATTTACGCGGTTTTTTTTAACCAAAGACAATAATTTTCATACCTTCTGTTAAGAACGCATGTTTTTTAGTTATGCACAAAAAAATTTAAAAGTTTTGATTTTGTTTGGTTTTACAATTTTGAAATATTACTTAGAGTACTCGATTTTATAATAATATATATATATATATATATATATATATATATATATATATATATATATATATATATATATATATATATATATATATATATATATATATTGGAATAGCATATAACAAAAGACAATAGACTATGTATTTTTTGTTACCAATAATAAAACCACTAATCTCTTGTAAAGAATTATCTATACCAAGTAATACTTTTAATATGATTTGTGGCTATGAAAATAGCCGTTTAAAAAATAACTAAGATAAAAGGTGAGTTTTATCGTAAACAATACCTTCCCCAAGGTTTGTTAGAGCAGCGCATACGGTTACTATTTTGTCACAATTAGAAAGAGTAAGTGACGTAGCTTCGTCAGAAATGTTTTTAACTGTTCGCAGCGGCAAAGTACCTTGAAGAATTGTATAGCGGTTTTTTAATAGTCCAATAACTCTTTCAATATGTATTATAACCGATGATATATTACGAGATTTTTCTACATCTGAAGCAGAAAGTTGAGCTTTACCTTTCGTAAAAGCTGGGTTTATCAATAAAGAGCAGCTTCCAGCAGCAAAATCATCTTGCAATGTAAAACCTCTATCTGCTAAAATTTGATCACCTGGCATATGGTACTTGCTAGATGCGAATTCTGATTCACGGACAATTTGATTATCTGAAGCTCTACCTCCATAGCACTTAGAAATAAAATTGATAGCTCCAAGAGGTGTACACGATATAAGACATTTTATTGTGCAATTCTTTTTATATTGGCTGTAAAATTGTGCTCTTGCCATAAGGGATGATGGCGATTCCACAAAAACCTCAAAACAATCAATAATCGATGTTAATCGTGGAAATTTGCACTTGAAAACTGGAGGAATTGTGTCGTAAATATGATCCCTATCTTGCATTTTTATTAAAAACTTTAATTTAATATACATAATATCTATCCATTTCCAAAAATTGTTCAATGCAGTAGTTTTTTTAAAACCAAACATAAACGATAACATATCAAAGTTAATGTTGTGCCTTAACTTTACTAAGCAGAATACAATTTGATCTGCTGAATCCAATCTTTTAAGTAAACTTTCATCAGTTCCTTTGCACAGGAAACACAGCAGCTTTTCTAATACTGGTAGACTTAAACCTGTAACCATAGTGCATTTATCAGGTTGTGATCGAATTTTATTTATTCCCAGGTTGCAATTATCAAATTTTAAGGACATAAACTTTGACATAAATAAATCTCTTTCTAAACGAAGATTATTTATTTCACTAAAGAGTTGTTGTCTCTCCGATGTTGTTACAGATCTTATGCCATCAATATCTGAATACAAATTTAAAAAACTCTCAGTGGAATTTTGCTTCAACTGACAATCGGTGTCATTAAGAACACTTGTTTCTAAAAAAATAGAAGAAAAAAGTATTTATATTTACTTCTAAGTAGGTAAGTATATATATTTACAAATATTTTATATAAAAGACAAAGATATAATTGAAGATAAGATAAATATTTTTTTGTAACTCTTATTGGAATCTTCAGCACTTATAGGAATAGGAAATTCTGGAAAAAATTAAAACACTGTATTTATAAAGAATTTCCAAAAAAAAGAAGAAATATATATAAATTGGTCATTTGAGAAACACCTCATATACAAAACAATAAAACTCAAAAAAAAACCATATTCATACATCTTTTGAATTTTTTTGTATTTTTCTACTGGAGTGACTAAGTGGAGATGATTTGTTTTATGCATGTTGGATGTGTCTAGCCTTTACAAACAATTTAATGTCTAACTTAATTTTGGCCAAAAATGGACATTTCTCAAAAGACTGATTCATATATATTAATTAAATAGTAACCAATACCTTGTCTAAAAATATCACTTGAGCATTGTTCTAAATTACCTTCATTAGGTGTAGAAAACCAAAACTCTAGAAGAAAAAATCAAACTTTTTTTAAAATGTATGTAGATTTGAATACAATAATTAATCCTTGTTTAAAATCTTTACAAAAACATTGTTCTAGAAGATTTTTATTTGCATTTAGGATTACTATGTTCTGGAAAATATTAACAAACAAAGTGTTTATCAATGAGTTTTACAATTGTGCAAAATAAAAAACATAAAAAATTATTCTAAAAAAAAAAAGGTTTTAACTTAAAAATTATCTATAAGCTTCAGAGCATTGATTGAAAATACTTTCATTATTCATTGGAAAATAAATTCTTGAGAAGAATTTTTTATTAATTTACAATAAACATTACAATACAAAATACAAAAAATTTAATAGCAATTGTATGCTTTATTCATATCTATTCTAAAACTATTGCTAAATTATTGTTTTATAATAATTCTATTAGGTATAGAAACGCTAAAATCTGGGGAAAAAAAATCAAAATTTAAAGGAAAATAAAAGAATATATACATTTGAATATGATAATCAATTCCTTCGCTAAAACTTTTGCTTGAGCTTTGTTTTAAAAGATCTTCGTTACATGTAGAATTACTTAAACTTATGCTGGAACATTGTTCTAATTGCTCCTTATTTGATTCAGAAGGATAAAATTCTAGAAATGTTTTAAAAAAATCATTTTTTTTTAATTTAAGAGATTAAGTTAAAATTTAAACTTTATTTCTTTAAAATTTAAAAACAATACCTTGTTTCTCAAAACTCTTGCTAGAACATTGTTCTAAAATACTCTCTGTATATGCAGAATCATTGATTTCTGAAAAATTAAATACAATTTTTTCACAATTTTTTTTTATTCATTTACATTGCAGCTACAACACATAGTCATTCATTTATAATATCAATAAAATTAACTAATTTACTTCATTATTAAATATTAATGACCTTTACTACATAAGCTCTTTTTTTCAATTACAAAATCAACTTTTTCTCTGTTAGATTTATCAAAAAGTTTTAGTTTCTTACATACAGGAACAACCAAATCTGTTTAACAAAAACAACATAAAAATTCATCAAAACAAAACAAAAACATAGCATTTCAAAATAAAAAATGAGAGTATTACTAAAAATTATTTGAAATAAAAATAATTTTTACTTTGTCTACTTATTCTTCTATTGACTCTCTTAATTCTATTATTATTAATTTTTCTTTGAGGGGAACTTAGTTTTTCAGTATCAAAGATTGAAGGAATTGAGTCTGGATGTTTTTCAAAAAGTTCTCTTTTTCCTAAACAATTGTAAATATTGTAGTATAAAAAGTACTGATATATGTATATGTATTTATCAATACTAATTTAAGATGCAAAGTAAAAGTACCCACCAGTAATAAAATGTGCCGAACAAACATAAACATTAGAAGATTCAGGAGACCACTGCTTCCTACATGCACTATTATCTGCAGCACGATTTATCACATTTAGCCACTTTCTTTGAAGTATTTCATCTCGAGGAAGACTATAAAACTTAAGTTCTTGATTTTTTTAAATATTGTTAGTTCAACACAACAACTTTTTGGCATTTTTTTAAAAAAGTACTCAACAAACCGCTATAGATTTTTTAGTTTGTTTTCCCCCAACTCAAGATGGTTAATTTAAAAAAAAAAACTTTTTAATACGGTGTGACGTCACGCCGACTGGATGGATAACTTTAATCGTTGAAATAATGTTTACGATTTTACTTCCATTTCTGCGCGCGCATAAATTTTATATTGTTCTTTTTGTCGACAATGATTGAAATAATGACGTTGAAATAACGTTAAATAATCAACGTTTAATCTGTAACGTCGATTTAACGTTGATATAACGTTAAATAATCCACGTTTAAACGGCAACGTTGATTTAACGTTGTGACATAGTTGAACAACGTTGAAACAACGCTTCAACCGAACTTCAACGTTGAAACAACGTATTAATGCCGGCTGGGAAGCGTTGTTTTTTAATTGAGCATCAAGAATTAAAAAAGAAAATTGATAACTTTAAAAAAGAACTTCAGCACAAAATAAAAAAATAAAGATTTATATGAAAAATCAACCACATCAGTTATTACTATGAAAACAGACAAACTTGTATATAAACATAATCCAAACAAATCGTGTTATTGCAATTTACTTGTATACAAACATTTATTTTAAAAATAATAGATCTTGCGACTTTTATACTGGCCTTACATCTGTCAATGTTTTTCATCAGTTAGTGCAGTATCACCATTAATCAAAAGAGATAAAGTGATATTAAAAAAATATTTGCTTCTGTTTTTTGAAATTTAAAAAAAATCCTTAACTACTTGGACCAAAATAAATGTAATGCAGCAAAGATAAATTTTTAATGATGCTAATACTTGGATTATTGACAGCTGATTTTGCTGACAGGTTTAATATATTTTTAGGATTAGCGAATGCAATATTTTCTTCATTATTGAAAGCTTCTAGCTCACTTTTAAACCACATGGTTTTTGTTCCAAGTAAAGATGTTATAAGACAGGCAATGCAAAACAGAATTTAGAAATTAAATTATTCAGACTAACACTAAATTTCAGATAAAACAGAATTTATTATGGAAACACCTTAAAATTTTGACTTACAGAAACTAACAGGGAATGAATACAAACATTACAACAATGTAAAAACATTAGTACCCGTAGCTCCAAATTCATCAATAATTTCTTTAAAAAATTTCTAAAGCTTACAGAAGCTAAATTTTGGATAAAAAAAATTACATATCGCAACAACTATTTAGATTGTATTACAAAATACTCTTGCATAATGTATGATTAAGGTTTTAATATTAATTTTTTAATACAAATGAAGTGATTTTAATTAAATCCATTTTTATCAGTCACTTTAAAAATATAATGAGTATTTGTATAAAGATAATTAAAATTTCATACAATAATATTAGCTTTACTTGTTTTTTTTTTTAGGTGAATCAATTGCAATTGATGGAATATCTTTAAAATGCTGAGGTAATCAAAATGGTTTTTAATTATTCAAGAATTTTAAGGATTAAATTATTTAGCAAAAAAATTGTTTGATAATAAGTTCAATTTAAATCAAAAAAAATAATAATATTAGTTCTCGCATAATTGATATCAGTTCTCTTATCTATTAAAATTTAGAATATTTTCCAACAATTTTGTGACCTCCATGAATATGAAGAGGAAAGGTGGAAATAAGCTTTAAGAGCTTCTTTTTTATTAACAGCTTCTTCTATTAAATACGATGGAGCGACTGAAACTTTAATTGATGGCATTTTGTCTAACTTCTAAAAATGTACTTCATTTTGAAAAGGTGGCGGAAAAGAATAAACTTTAGATTGATTGATATAAATTTATATTTATAAAAATCAATCTAAAGTTTCTTTATTGAAATATTTACATATATTTCAATAATGAAATATTTTCTTTTTGTCTGCTAATTTTTTTTTTAGTATTAATTCAACATTACAAATTAAAACTCAATTATGAAAAAAGCCTAGAATTGAGTTGATGTTTTAAGTAAAATAAGAAAAGCCCAAAAAGTAACTGATCTAATATTTTTAATTTTTGATAAAAAATTCTAATGTTTAAAATTGGTATTAAATTAATGTTTATTAGATGAAGATAAGTAAAAAATAATTAATGTTTATTAGATGAAGATAAGTAAAAAAATAAGTTACTAGTTATTTTTTGGTCTTGAAAATTGTTTGAATGATAATTTATTATTTATCAAAATATTTTCTTTTTTAATTTTTGTTGTTTTTATATTTTAATTAAAAGTAGATATTATTGTGTCATATATTATAATATACCTTATATTATACTATTATACTTTATATTAATAAGGAGTATTTTTGTTTTTTTGTATTTCTATTTTTTTTCAATATTCCATAATTATCTTATGTAGATGTTTATGTTTTAGCAACTTTGTATTTTTTCATTATTTGTCTTTGTTATTGAGCCTTAAGTTATTTGAACATAATATATTCAGAACTCTGCTGAATAATAGAGTAATAAATAAATTAATAAAAATGAGTTTAAAATATAATAAATTTATAAAATAAAGAAAATCTTATCTTGGCTTATAATGTCTACTAATATTATTGTTTAGCAAGTATCATGGTTATAAAATGTTCAAATTTAGCTAGTTTAATTAGGCCTGTTAGTACACTTATATTATGGTTTCTTCATTTTTTATTAGTTCATGTAATTTTTTCAAAATCAAATATGCGGAAAGGAGCTGTTTGGAATAAAGATTTACAAGAAGAAGTAATTCCATCTAACTAGATTAGTGATAAAACTGTTTGTTGGCTTCCAGGTACCAAAGCATTGACTGCACTAACATGCAGAGAAGAATTGGCTTAAGTTTATACAAATAAAAACTAAATTCTCTTCAGGTATTAAATCTATATATTACAATTATTATTTTTTAAATAATGTGGTAAGAAGAGTTATTTTGTTGATACAAAATATATAACTATTTGTATAACTATTTCAATTCTAAAAAAAAGCAAACAGTATTGTGAAAATTTTAAATTCACTACAAAAGAAAAATGTGATAATGAGAATGTTGACAAGTTGATGCAAGATTTGCACACAAGTGGAAACTTGGATGCAAATTTTCCACTTGTGTGGTTTAGATGGTTCTCCACAATATAATATATCTCCACAAGCATAATATTAGATTTACTACTTGTTTTTTTACAGATAAATCAATTACAATTAATTGGTGGAATTACCTCATTTATAATCAGGGTGTCTGCAGCTCCTCTAAAATCCTCTAAAGTCCTCTTTTTTTAAAACCACTTCTAAAATCCTCTATTATCCTCTAAAAAGGTAAATTTGATCAAAGCTTCTTATTAATTCTTCCTTTTTTAATTTTTGATGGATTATAATGTTCAAAATACCCATTTTCGGTCTGCAAAACTGGTTAACGCCTTAAAGTGCATGGAATTGTAAAAAATTGCTTTAGAAAATGCATGCTATTTAACATAACAAATGACATTATTTGATCCCTGTCCATGCCCCATAAATGTATAAACATGGACGTTAAACCATTAATAAATGGCCATATAAAATTTCTTATAAAAATTTTATGTGGCCACCCCGATAATTATTTTTCAATGCTAGAAATGTTTTATATTTTGATTATTAATTTATTTTTAATATATTAAAAAAGTTCTTTTATTTAAATTAAATATTTGAAAAAGTTATTAATAACCAACTAACAGTTATATTATTTTTTGAAAATTCAGAGTATTTTCGAAAAGTTATATGGCCTCCATGGATATGAAGGGCAAAGGTGGAAAAATATGTTTTAAGAACACTAATCTATATGGCGTTGAAAAAGATATACCTTCATAAGTTGCAACACTTTTCCATTCATTATTTATTTTTTTAAATCTTCCCTTTTTGTTTTTTTTAATATATTTTTTTTATTTACAGCTTCTTCTATTGTTATCAATGGACCAAAAGAAGCCTCGGTTAAAAGAACATTGTTTGACTTTCTAAATTACGCTATATTTCAAAAAGGTGGTGGAAAAGAGAAGAAATTTGTGTAAATTTTATTCAATTACATGTAAGTATATGTAATATTTGAATATGTATTTCTGAATCAAACAAGATTTATCTCTTTATTTAATCATACCTAGCTATTTTAACTAAACTAAACTGAAAACGCTCTAAATAGTGTAAGTATAGATTATGAATAGATTTAATATCCATAATATACCTTGATAATGAACAGCAACACTAATGTACATGCATGGTACGTTTTGATGGTGATCATATTTTGACGCACATAGCACGTTTACACACACATATATACATTTTGATATACATAGCACGTTTTGATGGTGAAAAAGTGTTTTACAGTCGTTTAACGTTGATAAATCAACTTTAAAAAACTATCATTTTAAACGTTGTATCAACCTAAATTCAACGTTGTTGTAACGTTTTTTCGCGTCGAATCAACGTTGATATAACGTTTGAATCTAACGTTGATTTAACGTTGATAAATCAACATTGAAAAAAACTTTCATTCTAAACGTTAAATCAACGTTAATTCAACGTTAGGTTTCAACGATATTTCAACGTTATTTCAACGTTATTTGCCGGCTGGGAAGCGATTTCTTTGTTAATATTTTTTTACTGAATTTGTCATGTAAGAAATGTAAGTCATTTTCAAAATTTAAAACTGCTCTCATTAACTACTTTTTAAAAAAACATTGCTTATAAATTTTATACTTTCATTCAACTTATTATTTATAACCCTAATTCTGAGCTTCTGTTTATCTAATTTTTTTCTTTTCTGTTGTGATTTAATATTTTTTGCAAAACGTATTAAATTTAATAAAAAAATATTAGAACACAACACTGTTGTGTTTTAATATTTTTATATTCAATTTAAAAGCAATATTTTTCTAAAAAGTAGTGAGTGTTGTAAAGTATAAATAACTAGTTATTTATTATTTTAATCTTTCTTAAACTGAAGTATTTTCTCTTCATCACTATAATTGTTAATATTATTATTACTATATGTTTATCATTATAAATATTATGATTCTTACTGTTATTAATATGGTCATAATTTTTTTTATATTACTGTTTTTGTTATATTACTGTTGTTGTTATTATTATTGTTGTTGTTATTTTAACTGTTATTTTTGTTATTATTATTATTAAAATAGTATAGTGTATACTTTTTATAATCTTTACTATTACTTTTAATCGCTGTTATTATAACTATTATTTTTATTTACTCCTAATTGCATTATAATTAATATTAATATTACTTCAACAATAATAAAATGATGCTAATATGTTAGCATCATTTTATTAGTATTAAATTTTAGAGGTATTTATTTCATATTACTACTTATTACTATTTGTAAATAACCTTGATGTGTCAACTTTATTCAGAATATATTTGATTTGATTTATTTTGATCAACCCTGATTTGAAATTTAATGAAAAATAATAAGGCAAAAGCAATTTTATTCATTTAAGTAGATATATATATATATATATACACATACACACACAAATGTATATATATATATATATATATATATATATATATATATATATATATATATATATATATATATATATATATATATATATATATATATATATATATATATATATATATATATATATATATATATATATATATATATATATATATATATATATATATATATATATTGTCATTATCTTGTTTCGGCAGTAAAGATGGACAGTTGTTCATATAAGCCTTTTTTCCTCCTGTAAAGTGGACTGAACAAACTCAATGAGAAACAGAAAGAACAAAGTTTTTCTTACTAATTAAAGATAGACATTTTTTTTCTCAAATTATTTTCCTTTGGGACGATGTAATATGATAAGTTTTTGTTTTTGAGCGAATTATTGTTGCATAATGGAACACAACAAGTTATGCCACAGCATTATTTTGTTGTTGTTGTTGACTCAACAGTAATATTTTCTTTAATAGAATGAGTTATAAGTTATCACAAGATATTGTATCACTTGAAATCATTTTGAAAAGTCTTTTTAAATTAAATTACTTGACTGTTTATTTTAAAAAGCTTCAACTCTAATTTGTTTATTTTCGTCAATAAAAACTTTTGCAATTTTTCCTCAAATTTTTATTCACGTAAAGGTAAGCAATTTACTCAGTAATTGTTCAGCTTTACGCAAGTAAAAAATTATGTAAAATTACTCAAGCTTTTTTTCACGTAAAGCTGACCGATTACCGAGTAAAAGCAATTGCTTGTTTTTATTCACCCGGCCTAAGATAGTAACCTTGAAAGAAACAGCTGTTTACATGAGATTTTTTTTTTTAAAAAAAAAAAGACATTAATTTAGTTTATATATAAGTTTATTTTACCCATTTCAAGTTTAAAATCTATACTGCTTATATGGTTTTGTTATATAATATTTGTAATCAAGGCAAAAACAAATTTGTACGTTGAGTGTAAAAGTATTTAATATTGATTAATAAAAATGAGCATTCGGGAAAGAAGATTGTTAAATAGTAATTTATATATATATATATATACATATATGTATATATATATATATATATATATATATATATATATATATATATATATATATATATAATATTAGGGTTCGGACTGTCTGCGCAGATCTGCGCAAGTATGTGCAAACAGTGTAATTGCGCAGACGTCAGCGCCGACAAAATTTATAATAACTAAACCATCGTGTAGATACAGGCATGGACAATGAGAGAGAAATAATAGATGCAATTCGTCTTTCATCAAACTTTGCTTTCACGATGTGATAATTTTTCACATATTTGATGATTTTCTCTGCATCTTTGACTGTTTTTGTGGCTTCAGTTGTAGAAACTATGTCCTTCACAAGCAAGTTGACTCCATGAGCTCCGCATCCGCTAGCCGAGATGTGTAGATTTTTCTCTTCGACGATCCTCCACGCTGATTTTATAACAGAAGCGTTGTCGCTTATTAAACTGGTAAATTTTTGTGAGCCAATCTTCTCAATAACTTGTAAGATTGCCGCGGCGACTGCAGATGAATTTTGAATGATTCCGGATGTATTTACCGAGGTGTAAAAAAAGCTTTTGATAGGGCGCTTTTATACAAAAATTCACTATGTGATTGCCTCTTGTGTTCGTCCAGCCGTCAGACATCAGTGGTAAGTTTGTTTCAGAATTCAAAATTTCATTTACAGAAGTAGAACAATTTGTGTATTGTTTGTTGAAAAGAGATCCTGATAAGGCTTTAGCATTCGGGATGACAGATGCGTACGATGGATTGAGCGACTTAACAAAATACTTAAAGGCGTCCGATTCGACTAAACGAAATAATATACCCGTACGGTAAAAGAAATTAGCAAACTTCATGTCGATATCATTTTTGAGCTCTTTATTAATTGGTTGACATACACGCTGCGTCGGTGAATCAGAAGCAGACGGAAGTTGCCGAGAATCATTGATTAGATGTGACGATTCATAATTACGCCTAGAAAACAATCTTTTTTCCTCGACAATGGCGTTTAGACATGTTGATCTTTTATGCGCTGCAAGGCGTTCCTTCGACCATTGAACAGTGTTGTTACATGCTAAACAAGTGCAAGAACGCTTCTCTCGATCAAGATTTGTCAAATAATTCCAAATTTTGATGTTTTTCATTTAATACATTTTTAATGACAAAAATACATGGTTTTTTGATTCTAAATCACTTAAATTTGTAGTAAGTAACACTTACAAAAGTTTACATTGATTGATTATATGTAGCTTAAACTAAAAAGAGACAGATAAATGAAAAACTCGTAAAAAGTAGATAATTATGCAAAAATTATTTCAGACACTTGATTCAGATAACTTAAATTTTTCGTTTACGTTTAAGTGTCTGCGATTACGTTGGCACCGACGTCTGTGCAGATATGCGCATAATTTGTCTGCGCAGATCTGTGCAGACACATTTTCCGAACCCTATATATATATATATATATATATATATATATATATATATATATATATATATATATATATATATATATATATATATATATATATATATATATATATATATATATATATATATATATATATATATATATTATATATACACAAACACAACTATCAATGCACATTTCACACTCGAAATGTGTGAAATGCAAAAGATAAAGAGTATTCCTTAAGAGCTTTTATTTCTTTCTTATATATCCTTTAAAACAAACATATAAAAAGAATAAATATATAAATAATATAAATTTAGCCTTAAAATAGTTAAAATAAATTTAAATAATTAAAAATCGATACTTTTATTATGGATAAAAGTAAGGAAATCTCATTTAAACAACTGTTTCTTTCAAGAATTCTTTTATAATATATATTGTGTATTTACATTCTTTCATGCGATTCTGCGCACAAGGAACAATGACGTACTGTTAAATGTTCGCGCGCACTAAATTATCGGAACTGTGAGGAGGTCTATTGGATTAAAATTTATCTTACCAATAGAAAACAATATCTGTGTAATATACAATCTGGAGTATTAAATGTTTTATGTGGAGTCCCCGAAAGATCTATCCTTGGTCCACTCCTGTTTTTAAATTATATAAATAATTTTTGCAATGCATCTTTAAAACTGAATTCATTCATGTTTGCCAGTGATACAAATCTATTTCTTACAAACAGTGATATCAAGAAGATATATGCAGATATGAATATTGAACTAAATAAAGTAAATAATTGGTTTAGGACTAAAAAACTCTAAGTTTATTTGCCTAAAGACCAAAAACCAAGGCCTTGGTTTTTGGTCTTTAGGCAAATCTACACACATTTTATATTATACAATCTATACACATAAAAAACACATATTATACAATTTATACACATAAAAAATCTATAAACACAGAAAAAATTGGAAACAAACTTTGAAAAAATTATGACTTTAAATATTAAATAATTAAAAGAAATATTCACAAATTCAAATTCTTATAACAAAAACTTATTTAGACACAAATAAACATTTAAACATAAAACTCTTTTGAGGCTTTTTGATTAGAATTTTATCCACAATAAGTTTTGACGCGCTTCCATGCCATAGACAATATGAGAAACTTTGGAAACAAGTTGTACATAATGTCTAAACACTTTCTGAATAAGAAGAAAAATCTTTGATGTATTTTGTTATCTGACTTTATCGAAAATATTTGAGCCAACATCGTAGTGGTTCTATTAATTTTTAAATATCAAGTATACATTTTTATGACCTCATACCACATTCGAGCATCAAAGGTAATTTCTAGAACTTTAATAATTCTGTTTATAGTTTGACCAATTATTTTACTATTTCGAATTTCAAATAACCTCTGCATAAATTTTAAATAGAGAAGTTTCTTTTGCCTGTCCGTTTTGAGTATGTCTAATACTAAAGTTGATCTGATTTTTGGATCAGTAAATAGTCCTAATAAATCTAGCATAAGTGCATTTTTCTAATTAGCTCAATAACAAACTTTGGAACACTTTAAATTCCTGATATATATATATATATATATATATATATATATATATATATATATATATATATATATATATATATATATATACATATATATATATATATATATATATATATATATATATATATATATATATATATATATATATATATCATATATATATATATATATATATATATATATATATATATATATATATATATATATATATATACATATATATTTATTTATATGTATAAGTAAAAACATCTAGTTTTATTCTTCCACAACGTGTTTCTCCATCAGTAGGCACATGAGGAAGGTTTATCAGTAGGTTCATTAGTTGATCAGGCTTCCTGATAAACCTACTGATAAAAAAACATGCTCTTAAAGATAAAAATTAGATTAGTGTTTTTACTAATCTATTAATGCTCTGGTTTTTAAGAACGTTGAGCACTCTTTCTCTCTCTCTCTCTCTCTCTCTCTCTCTCTCTCTATATATATATATATATATATATATATATATATATATATATATATATATATATATATATATATATATATATAGATATATATATATATATACATATATATATATATATATATATATATATATATATATATATATATATATATATATATATTATATATATATATATATATATATATATATATATATATATATATATATATATATATTTCTCTCTTTCTTTCTTTCTCTCTCTCTCTCTCACTCTCTCTCTCTTTATATATATATATATATATATATATATATATATATATATATATATATATATATATATATATATATATATATATATATATATATATATATATATATATATATATATATATCATTATCTTGTAATAACAACATAAAAAAAAACAAGAATCCCAGTAAATAGTTCTATTGCATATAAAAGAAAAATAGACAAAATTGAAAACAAAAAAAGTGATATTAATTTTTCTTTGAAGAAACCGAGCCTGAAAAGTTAAAAATTATTATCCTAAAGGACAAACTGAACATTATAAAAACTAAAAAAAAGAAATGAAAAATATTATTATGAACCAAAACCACACTATCAATCAATTAAAATTTACAATTGTCAGATTTAAACATAATCAAGCCCAGTTTAAATTTTATACTGGCTTTGAACATGGCGTACTTTATAACAGGCTTATTCATCGTGCAGATGACGTCATAAACTGGAGGCGAGTTTTTTGAACATAAAAAACACTAATAGCATGATTAAACTTGAAATTTAATTTTCAATCAAAAAAATACTAAATAAAAAAATACTAAATAGATTTTTTTACGATATATATCTGTAAATAAATTTATACATAAATTTTTTAAAATTTATGTATAAATTTTTACAAATTATCATTTATTTTACTAACCATAAAAACCAATTAAAACCAAGTTGAATATTTTCACCATTATTCTTCATCATATTTTTTTTATTAAAATTTTTTAAAACAGAAACAGTATTTTATGTTGGATTTTTTTTTGAAACTCAGTGTTAAATAACAATGTTAGGGTTAGGGTTATTTAACATGTTAAATAACAACATTATTTAACACTTAGTTTCAAAATTTGTTGTTTTGGTTCTTTTTCTGATCTTGGTGAATACAAACTACAATAGTTTTTAAAGAATATGTTTGAAAGTAAACACCATGTTTTCTATTCATATTCAGTTGATATGTTTCTGAAAAAAGCATCATTAGATTGCATAAAGTAGAAATACATGTGTTATCAGCCACTTCACGAAACATAATATAACAATATATAACCCATTGACATACAAAATCACCAGGTACAGTTAATCCTCCACGATTGATTTCGCCTGTAAAATATCTGAATTTCTCAGAATAAAAGTATGAGTCATCTGAATCTTCATCATTTCGGACAACATACCCAGCTATATAAATCAGACTCATTTTAACATCTATAGATAGTATATTTTCTAATTCTGGTAAGTTACCAAATATCAAACATTTCTCTTCGTTCATGTAAAAACCACAACTTTCACAAGAATGCCCTGATGTAGTAAAGTAGTTTTGTCTTCATAATACCAATTTTCTCTAATATTTGTTGTACAGTAATAAAATATGTACCACCTGATCCTTGCCTGAGTTTCCCAAACTGTTTTTCTAAAGGATCAGTGGCAAATGTTCCAAGCAAAACATATTTATGATTTGTAGACAAGAGAAACTTTGACAACTCAACAAAACCATTGCATGTATGACAGAGACTTTTAGAAGTATCTTTTGTGAAACTTTTACAACGAACCTTTTGAGAAGAACACATTTGTTTAGCTAAGTTTCCAAATTCTAACAGCTTTTAAAGATTAAAATCACCATAAGAAAAAATTGCAGCTTGGTTTAGATCACGCATACGTATATCTGCATAAGGGCTATGAACATTAACAATTCTCTAAAATTCAATTATTATTGAAAGAAATGAAATAGTATCATCAACATTTTTCAAGTCTGGATGACATTTTAAGGCACACATAGTTTCTTCACAAAATACTTTTAGACAAGTAGAAACTTTTTGTCTTTCAATTGGTTTGAGGAATACAGCAACATCACTAAGTTTATACATTTTAATCATTTGATTTGATTCTAATGTGCAATTTTTTTTAATTTTTCTTATGCAATGCTACAATGTGAGACCATTTGGCAACTTTTTTTTTCCTTATTAACATAAAACTTAAGTTCTTGAGTCTTTCCAGTTATCCAATTATTGTGAATATTTTTTAAAAGGTGCACAAAATCATATAAAAGATAAATGTTATCTTTTGTACGCCCAGGTACGCCGTCTGTCTGTAAATTTTTTAAAAAAGGCCTGATTTACCCTGTTACCATCACAAACTATACGTACAACATTACCACCTGCTGCTTTTATAGCAGATAGAAGAAAGTTAGTTTGTTCAAAAAGAAAATTTGAATCAATTTCACGTAATGAAAGCGTTTTACATAATAATTTGGGTCTACCAAACAAAGTAACTACCATAAAAATCAAAACAGTATTAGCAAGAACATTTGGATTGTTAACCGCTTTTCCAAACACTGTTCCCCCATGGTACTGTAACATAGTTTTATATGAATAAAAAATAAACTTCGTCTAATTGAAGAATACAATTTTTATGTCTAATGTCAGATAAGTTTGAAAACACT